CCGTGGCTCGGGGGAGGTGGTTAGTGGAAGGATGGGAAGAAGAAAAGAGCCCCCCAGCCTGTGATCACATTGTAATAGAGCCCAACGAAGAAGCAGACCTGGGGGGGGAGGAAATGACACAGAGTTTAGTTCTGTGGCCATTCCGTGGACCACCCGGAAGGGCTCTGCCCCCACGGCTGGGAACCACAGGAGTACACGGGGAGTAAGTGGAATGTGGCATGCGTGGTCTCTCCCCACGTGGGGCTTTCCCACCGTGGTGTGGAGGGGGGGCTGCCTGCTCTGTGACCCGGGTCCCCTGCGCTGGGAGGGGAGATTCTCACTGACTCTCCCAAATGTGGATTAACCAGACACCCAGGCTCAGCCCCCCAGGGAGAGACAAAGGGAGGGGGGCGGAGACCAGCCCCTGGCTGGGGGGCAGGGCTGGGAGAGAGTTTTAGTTTCTGTCTGGGATGATGGAGGAAGCAGCCTAAGCAACAGGCTGGGATTTAGGGGCCCAGGTTCCCCAGCTCAAGGGGGGCTGAGGCATCCTAGGCCTGCCCTGTAACCTGATGACATCTGTGCTGTGCTGTATCCTGGAGAAGCAATAAACCACCTCTATTGTACCGGCTGGTGGAGTCTGTTCATGCCACTAAAGGTGCAGGAGACGGGAAAACCCCAACGCGCCATCACCCCCGCCCCACCAACAGGGAGCGGGGTGATGGGTCGTGGCAGTCTGGGCCTGATCCAAGCCTAGTGATGCGTATGGAGAACTCCCATGGACTGCCATGGGCCAAGGGACGGTCACTGCCGATGCCCTTTGGAGCCCCAGTGCAACGAGCAACCCGCAGAAAATGTCAGTTTTCCATAGGAATCGTTCTTCAGTCCCGTGCAGCCACCCGAGGCCTGACGCGGGCAGGGTGGGCGCCGAGGCCGGGCAGGCAGCCTAGAAACAAGGGGCATTTTAACGGCAAGGGTAATTAACCCTCCTGGGCCATTTCGCAATCAGGGCTGGACTCGTCTGAACAGATTTGCTCGAACTCGACCGGGAGTTAATTCAGGGAAGTCCGGCGGCCTGTAGCACCTACGGATCAGACCAGAGGTCCCCTGGCTGTGCAGTCTGTGCCTCGCGTCTTCTCCGCAGTGCCGGCCGGCTGTGCTGCGAACGCGGATTCGACCCGCGGGGTTGTCTTGTGCTGTACACCAACAGCAACAACACACCGACCCCCCCAGCAGGGCCCCACCTGACTGTTTGCTAACACTGCGCAGGCAGGGCCGGTGCTACAGGCAGACAGCTGCTTCCGCTGGTTCCTGGCATGTCGTAGGCCCAGAGCACTGCAAGCATCTCCGGAGGGCGAAAGGGGTGCCGCTTTGTTCCTGTGTGCTACCGCGGGAGTCAGGCACCCCCAGGTCCGGGGGGAGATCATGGACCTTATTCAGGTTTGGGGGGGATGCCCCCAACGTCCAAAATCTCCACACTAGATGGAGGAATGCAGCCGTCTATGGCAGGGTAGCTGCCAGCCTGGCCACCAAAGGCCACATGCGAACCCAGGAGCAGGTTTGCATGAAAATCAAGTTGGTCTGGCCCACCTCAACCTCCGTACCCTTCTCCCCATCCCCCCTGGGGACGCTGAGGACCCCTTCTCTGAGGTGCTGGGAGGCAGTTGGCCCAGTGAGACCCCCACCCCTGAGAGCTGAGCTTCCCCTCCTCCTTCTTCCCCTCGCTTCCCCCTTCCAGCTCCCTCCTCCAAGAGTTCCCCTCCCCTCTCCCGCCACCCTTCCCCAGTCTCCCCAGAGTTTTGTACGATAAACCCAGTTCATATTTTTGAACATATGTGTCTTTTATTTGACATCAGGAAGGGGGGGCTAGAGAGGGGTCAGTGGGAGAACATGAGGGAGGAATGGGGCACGAGCCCCCGGGGAGGAGGACTGGGGAAGCTCTTAGTGCTCCTCGGGGTGGACGCTTTCCCTAAAGGCCTCCTGGATCCTGACAGCCCCCGCTGGACCCCCTAGATGGCAGCCTGCAGAGAGTGCAGCCAGGCTGATGGCAACGACCCCACGGGACGCACCGGCATGCCCAGGGGCAGCCCGTGTCCCAAGTGTGGGCACTCAGGGCACTCCATGACAGGACTGCTTTGCTGTCCCTCATGGAGGTAGACAAGCAAGCGGGGAACCCTGAGAACTGTCTGTGCAGGGTGGGGGTCGGGTCCCTTTAAGCACGGAGCTCAGTTAGCCTCAGGCAGCAGCCCCACACACTCAAGTCCTAACCTGGTGCCCTGCCGGCACTGGTTCTGCCCAGCCTTAACCTCGGTTCAGGGTCCACTCAGTGTGGACATGCTAGTTTGAATTAGCAAAACGCTATTTCTAAATAGTTTTTGTGTCTAGATGCGTTATTTCGAATTAGCTTAATTTGAATTAACTATTTCGAATTAAGTTAACTCAAAATAGTGCGGTAATATAGACATACCCTAGCTCGGAAACCAGCCAGCCTGCCCAAAGGGACCGGCCTCCCCCCACAACCGCGCTGTGACACTCACAAGGCAGCTGGCGTAGCCGATGCCCCCCAGGCGGGGGCAGATGTAATTCCAGACGCCGATGCTGCCCCGGCGGATTCGCTGGCCCACGGCCAGCTCCAGGAAGAAGAGAGGGAGCCCGATGATTATCAGCAGCACCAGGTATGGGACCAGGTAGGCACCTGGCAGGAGAAAGAAGAGTCGTTACCCATCCCTCTGGGACTGCCCAGCGAGAGGCACTGGGGCAGGCAGCGAGGGAGAAGGACAAGGGGGAGGAGAGAGAACAGTCTTAGCCACGATTTTGCACCGGCCGCCTGTTCTTACAGCCCACAACCACTGGAGTCACCCTATGCCTGATGTTCTTACTTTCTAAGATCCAGCTGCCAAGTCTGCACACACATCCGAGAAAACTTGGTGCTCTCTCCCAATATCCTCTAATCTCCTTGCTGCCCACCCAATGAAGGCGGCTCCCACTCAAAGGGGAGAGGAAAAAGAAATGGCAAAGCAAAGAGGATTTCCAGCCTTCCAGCACAGAGGGGGGTGACCAAAGAAGCAGGAAACAGGAAAAGCTTGGGGCCGACTGATCTCTCCCCCAGACTACTGGAGACCCCGGGAGAAGCTTGCACACCATGGGTAGCCCCCTTTCCTAGCTCGAGCCCCCCCGGAAACCATAATGCCCAAGGTCTGGTGTAGAATACACACAAGAGCCTTGCCAAAGCCTGGGAGAGAGCCCCCACTTGTACCAAGTTACTGCCCTGACTTTTGGCCCAGCTGCTGTACAAACTACAGGAGAGGCAAGAGTGTAACTCAAGCCCGGTTCACACCAAGCCGCAGGAGCCGTGATCAAGCGCTGGCACTGCCTGCCTCCCCGAGAAAGGTTTGCAGCCCAGGCAGAAGAGAAGTGCAGCATCCCTCTGTCGCACTCCGCCCGGTGGGTGGGCAGGCTGTACGGACTGGCTTGGGCCTGCCACAGTGGTGCTGGCGGGCTGCTGGTCCCAAGTTTTGTCCAGCTCGGGGCTCGGCGGGCTGCCCTACTGCAAACTAACTGCTCTTGCTCCAACTCGCCAGCGGAGCCATGTCCCTGGACCCGGAGACGGCGCCGTATGGGGGCCACATGGGCACTTTGCCCCTTCTCAAGGGCTTACGGTGGAAGACCCCAGACCTGCTTGCTCCGCACACGCTCCAGACATGCTGGCCGGTGGCAGGGCCACCTGGACCTCTCAGCCCCCCTCCGCCGCCTCGGCTCATGCACCGAGCCTCGCGACACTCTTGGGAGGTGATCGACTTAAGGCCGATGCAGGGGTTTGAATCCAGAGCTTCCGAGGCCTTGGGCCAGCATGGATCAACCTGTGAAGAGGAGCAGGGAAGTTGAGAGGATGGGCAGGGCCACAGACAGCAAGGCCGGGAGTGCGGAGAGAAGACAGCAAAGATGTAGGTGGAGACAAGGGGAGGGTCGCCAGGCTTTTGCCCGGACACTCCCTTATTTCTGGCCCCTGTCTGGTAACAACCAGAAAATACCAGGCGTGTAAAATACCCGGCATTTTCCGTTTCTCTCAGACGGAAGGCCGGCGGGGACATTCTTCCCCTGCTGCGTCTGGGGAACCAGGAGCATGGGGATATTTAAAGGCGCAGTGACCCCCTTTTTCTTTGCGCTCAACAACTTTGGCTCCCCAGGTTTTTTTTGCTCAACCAATTTTTTTTCCTGCCATGTTTGGGATTTTTTGTGAAAGTATCTGGCAACCTTGGACAAGGGGAGGATGGGGAACTGGAATGAGCAGAGGCCAAGTGTCTGGTGTAAATGGCGGGGAAGCCAACACATTAATTCAGTAGGGACTCCACCACCCTCAGACTGCTCTGGGATGGGACTGTCACAGTACCGGAGTTTAAGGGAAGCAGCCAGGTCACTGCTGCGCCATGGGGGAGTGTTTGCCCCAAAAGTGGGTATAAAGGGGGCCATGTGAGGTGTCAAACGGAAGCTCACCTTCCACTGAGTCTGTATATTCTCTTCATGTGATTGTATAACGTCTGTGAGTGGAGCTATAGACATGTACTCTGTATGGAGACTGGAAGATTCTCTGTATGTGGTTGAGCGATGGGCTCAGCCTATGGACATGCTAATTAGCAAGGCTCCAGGGACAATAGGTCTCTTAAGTACCCAAGACCCACCTGGAAAGGAATCTAGGTGCCTGGCCACTGACCATGTGACTGTCTCCAGCTTGGAAGAGACCAGGAAGGGATATAAATATGCCATGTGGCTGACTCCATTTTGGTGCTCAGCTCAGCTCTTCATCCCAGATGCAGCCTTGCAGGGAACCATGAGCTGGGAAGAACTGTGGACCCATCCTGACATAGGATGTGCAACTGAGACTTTTAAGCCAGCAGTTATAGCATCTCTGCTGCGAGCCTGCATCGAGAACTGGGAGATTCGATGCATGTAACGTATGATACTTTAGCAACCTCACTCTCGTGCTTTTCTTTCTTGTAGTAATAAATCTTTAGATGGTAGATTCTAAAGGATTGGCCCAGCGTGATTCGTGAGTAAGATCCAGAGTGTAAATTGACCTGGGATTTGTGGCTGGTTTCTTGGGACTGGACAGAATCTGTTGGGGGTAGGTGAGATCGGGTTCTATAACCCCTCACCGCTGGGCAGGCCCAGGGCCACCTGGGGCACGGAGAGAGCTGGGGTGTCAGAGGGGTTTTGCTCGTGAGGCTTCAGGCTGGCCGGGCAGGCAGCTGAAGTGCTGGATGTGACTGGTGTGTGCCTGTTTGGGAAGGGCCACCAGTCAGGGGCTATAGAGAGCCCCGAGTTTGAGCAATTCACCCTGAGCGGACGCCCTCAGCGGTGCCCAGACCCGGCCCGGTCCGTCACAGGGACGATGTTATGATTCCCATTGTGCCATTGGGGAAACAGAGGCACAGAGTGCTTAAGTGACTTGCTTTAGATGCTGTAGCCAGAAGATGACAGTGCTTAGAATACACCCCTCCCCTGCCCCCAGTCATGGCTCACACTGAGCCAGCTTCTGCTCTCCCTTACGTGGGTGTAAATCCTCCTTGGAGATCACAGAGCCAGATCCTCAGCTGGCTTAGACCAGCCTAGCTCCGCTGGAATCACTGGCTGTGTCTAGACTGGCCAGTTTTTCCGGAAATTCAGCAGCTTTTCTGGAAAAACTTGCCAGCTGTCTACACTGGCCGCTTGAATTTCCGCAAAAGCACTGACTTCCTACTGTCTGAAATCAGTGCTTTTGTGGAAATACTATGCTGCTCCCGTTCGGGCAAAAGTCTTTTTCTGAAAGGCTTCTGCGCAAAAGGTCCAGTGTAGACAGCAGAGATTTCTTTTCCGCAAAAAAGCCCCGATCGCGAAAATGGCAATCGGGGCTTTTTTGTGGAAAAGCGCGTCTAGATTGGCCACAGACGCTTTTCTGCAAAAAGTGCTTTTGCAGAAAAGTGTCCTGCCAATCTAGACGCTCTGTTCCAAAAATGCTTTTAACGGAAAACTTTTCCATTAAAAGCATTTCCAGAAAATCATGCCAGTGTAGACGTAGTCACTGAGAATTGAGAACCTAGTCCAATAGCTCCATCCAGCATCCTCCTTGCTACCAATGCAAAGACACTAAGTGCAACTAATGCATGTCACTGTATTTGTGATGCAACCCGTGCACACATGCTCATGCAATGCAACCCATGCGCACGTGTGCATGGAATGCCACCTGTGCACTTCTGTGAGCATGCAATGCAACCCGTGCGCATGTCTGTATGTATGCAATGCAACCCATGCACACGTGCACATGCAATCCGTGTGCATGTCTGTGTGCATGCAATGCAACCCGTGCGCATGTCTGTATGTAAGCAATGCAACCCATGCACACGTGCGCATGCAATCCGTGCACATGTCTGTGTGCATGCAATGCAATACAAAACATGCATGTCTTTCAGATTATTCTCTCTTGGCCCAAACTAGGTCACTTAGCTACCGGTCAGACCACAAGGGGAGTCAGGTGATGGACAGGTGCTGACAGGTTGGAGCTGGCCTCATGCGGTGCGGGCGCGTGAAGTGCTGACTGTGCAGGGTCAGCCTGAAGGGTGACTCATCCCCAGGATGACACTGGAGGCATTTTAATTGCTGAGATCCTGCGGCAGCGCTAGGGAGATGCTGGCGTGTGCTGGGGGGCCATGTCCGGATCGGCCTGGTGACTGCGGGGGAGGGAGGGACATGGAGTGGAAACCTGAGTTCGGGTCCTGCTGACTGAATTCCACGCCAGGGACAGTAGCGCTCACGGGAGCGCCAAGACAGGCGGATCCTGTTCTTTCGTGCTGCAGCAGAGTCACCCGACCCCTCAGCTTCCAAGGGCCAGGAGGTACTGCCAGCCCTGCACCCCGGGGCCTCTGCTGCCAGTCGCACACGCTGGGCCCTTGCTCCCGGCCTCAGCTGGGGGTGGGGGTGGATGTGGTTACGGGGCTCAGCACGCCCACGATGAATCGGGCAGCGAGAGAGACAAAACCGAGAGAAAGCCCCTGCCTTTCAGTGCTGTGTTAAGCGTCCACTAAAATAATAAAGGGGAAGCTGCATTTTCCAAAGCTAGAGTAAGTTGATGCTCATTTGCAAACTTTTGAAAGAGCCACCACAGCGTTTTGTTCAGAGTTAAGAACAACTCCATTCCCGGCCCTGGGCTGGGGGCCTAGCTAAGGCCTGGATCTATTTTGCCTGTTAACATGTAGAACTGTAGCTCTCAAAGCACGTCAGACCCATGAGCTGATCAAGTATTGTCAGAGGTTCCACTGAGATAGGTCGTTATCAGGCTCCCCCTTCTGCAAATTGGGGAAACTGGGGCAGAGAGTGGTTAGGTGATTTGCCCAAGGACACAGAGAAAGGCAATGGCGGAGTTGGGATAGCTGTCTCCCTGTCGCTGCTCCATTCACTGGATCATATGCTCTAAGCCGAATTCTGATTTTATGTGCGTGAGCGTAAATCAGGATTAATTCCACTAAAGTAAATGCACTGGAGTTGGTGTAAAACCAGCCAGAGAGGAAAATCAATCCTCCCCATTGCATAAAAACAAACTTCAGGTGCCTGTCTCCCTGTGCAGAAGTCACCGTGACAACGCCAAGTCACCTACATTGTGATGCCTGACGTCACCGCAATGACGGCTCGGCCTACTCCTGCAAAGAAAAAAGGCACAATAATGTGCTCATAACTCTGAGCCAATGCCTGAGAGGGACTCAGGACAGACAGATGAATGGCTAGATAGACAGACAGAAAGAGAGGAAGGACAGACACTCACTTAGGGTATGTCTACACTACAGCGCTAATTCGAACTAACTTAGTTCGAATTAGTTAATTCAAACTAAGCTAATTCGAACTAACGCGTCTAGAACTAAAAACTAGTTCGAATTAGCGTTTTGCTAATTCGAACTAGCATGTCCACATTAAGTGGACCCTGAAGCGGGGTTAAGGATGGCCGGAAGCAGTGCCGGCAGGGCATCAGAGGAGGACTTAGAGCGTGGAGATGCTGTCTCAGGCTAGCCGAGGGCTGTGCTTAAAGGGTCCCGACCCCCACCCCGGACAGACAGTTCTCAGGGGTGCCCCGCTTGCAAAGCAGTCCTGGCTTGGAGTGCCTTGAGTGCCCACACTAGGCACATCACAGCACTCGGCCATCAGACCGGCTGCACTTGCCGCAGGCTGCCATCTGGGGAGAGCTTCCAC